GAGCATCTATTGTATACTCATGCACATGTTTCTTAGATCAAATATAAATTTCCTTGCCTCTTTTCTTTATTTCTTTGGGTGAGACATAAGCAAATATCAATTCACCCTGGTACTAGAACACCAAAGAAAACATTCCATCTAAGCCTCGTTTGGTTATAAAATGTGGTGACTGGGTTTACTTAGAGGAGAAAGGTTTACTTAGAAGAAGATGGTTAAGTCAAAGACTTTGGTATTTCTGAAAATTACTATAGCTTGAATAATGACTACTTCATTGGATTTCTGCCTTCATTTAACTTTCTACTTCCTATATAGTCCACTGTAGCACCCCAGGGACATATACAGCTGAAGGTGCATAGGAAGTCATGCTTGGAATTATAAATAGGATTTCAACTGTCTTCTGCTCCACCCAAGGGAGTGTTAACAGCCTCATTACCATCACCATGGTTCTAACTTTAAGTGTATTGTTTGCTAGGACTATGAGTTTGTTTTATAGATTATCATAGCCATTTTGCTTCCTGGTAACTAATAACCATTTCACAACCAGAGAATAGCTATTTCTCAACCCTTCATCCTCTTCTTCATTCTTTTATTTTTGTGTGAACTCATCTGCTTTTGCTAGGATGGATTAATATGTATATTTGATAATTTTCTATGTATTTGGTAACCTTGTCCAGTACCAATTATTCTCAGCCATGTAACATTTATGAGTCTACTAATACCCATGGAACTCTATACATTGTTCATATATAAACAGTAATGAGTAATGTATGGGTTCAAAACTGGGTGTTAAGAAGGCAAGTTTGTAGACATAAAATGCCCATTGAACAAAATGGCAAAATTCCCAGCCACAGATTTTCAGCAAAGCTTATAGTTCTAGTATAAGTTCTGTCTATTTGAGCTCTGTGGAAACTCTATCAGAAAAGTCCTTGTACTCAGAACAGCTGTACCATTCTTGAATGAGTGGTCATAGCATACATGGCTTGGTCATTGTGTTAACAATTGATCATGTCCTTTCAGATGTATCACTTCAATAGTAAGTTGAATCATCTCTGGGATTATGAGATACAACCAGCATATTTAGAGCTCACAGCTCAATCCCAGCTCCATTCTTATCTCTTGCAGAGAAAGCATATAGTATGCTCAGAGATTCTCTTGTCTTTTAGTTCTGGCATGTTACTTGTGATAATCTCTTGTGTAATATGGAGAGCCATAGAGGCCTTACTGGTTATAACACACAGGAAGCCTCCACTTAGACACAGGGATATTTCAATAATTGTATGCCTTTTCAGTATATCTTTCTCTACTGTACCTGAAAACTTCTTTCAGATTTGTAGCCAATGTCTACTCTTACAATTTCCACAGTCCATAAGGCACTAGATACTAACACTGTGTAATTAAAAATCTTATAGACAGTTCCACTGAGTCCACTCTAAGCCCATTCATGTTGATAATGATACTCATTGTCCATAGGAAGACTAACAAAAAATTATCAAAGTCTAAGAAAGTATGAAAAGATTTCATCACTTATTTCAATGAAAAAGTAATTTTGGTTAGGACATGATAGGGAACAACTATGTTACTTAGCTTTTGGCAACATATTATCAGTTCTCTTTAGCCATTGCCTTTGTAGAGCATTTGAACAGTGACAAGAACCTGGCCATTTGGGGTAACTTACAGTGCCTGCCCTGTCAAGAGGTAGATGGGCAACAAGAGTTGAATTCATTGCTTTCTCTCGGCCACTTCTTCTAACTCTATGTAATTGACCTCTGTCTGGCCTTGTTAGCACTAATGCTTTTTCAGTCATATCTCTCGGTTGAAAGTGTCCAGGTGGCATGAACCATGTTCAGTCACACAGACTTTCATTTCCTCCAAATACATTGTGTTCAACAGATATTTGACACCTTCAGGCAATGATTCCCAACTCTGGAATGCATCTTGTGTCTGAGCAGTACATCCATCATTAGCAGAGTTTCTTTTATTTTGATTGATTGGTTGTGTGTATGTTGAACACACACACATCTGTGTACACATGTGGAAGGCCAGAGGAAGATGTTGGGTGTCCTGCACTATCACTCTCTGCTTTGCTCCCTACATACAAGGTCTCTTTGTGAATCTGGAAATCAGCAAATCCCCAGTGGTCATCTTGTTTCCACTTTCCACAGGTCTGGGGTTATAGCTGCACATATCCATACCTGGTATAAGGATATGATTTATAATGTAATTAATAATCATACATTTAGCAAACTGGAAATACTAGATTTTAATACTTAGTAGAATGTATATTCTCTGGCATTTGGTTGAAATATTCTGTAGCTATCTCTTAGGATCATTTGACAGAAAAAGTCATTTAATTCTGAGTTTTCTCTATGTTTTGTGCATATATTAATTAGAAAAACTGGGTTGCTAAAATAACTTACTATTGGGTTTGTATTAATATGTGTCTTTAATTTCAAGTACTATGTTTTTTATGAAATTGGATACATTAGAGTTTAATGTCAAAGGGAAAACTATTAGATCACAGGATTTCTGGGTTTGAAGGAATTCTACCTCTCTAACCAGGGATTCTGTACTTGGGATGTTTAATTTGTACCTTCAACAGAAATGTCTCATGTCAATGGGACACCTGGAGCCATATAGGAGTGTGTACCTAAACCACTAGTGATGCTTTTAGAAGACATCTCCATTGACCTAGATAATTTCCTTTATAGCAACTCCTGCTTCAATCACCAGCATGAGCTTTTATGTAACACAGTGTAATGGAAGTTTGGTCACTAAGGAGTGGCATTATTGGAGAAGGATTAGAAAGTATGGCCTCCTTGAAGGAAATGTGTTACTGAGAGTGGACTTAGAAGTTTCAAAAGCCCATGCCAAGTCCAGTCAGTTTCTGTCTCTGTTTCTGCTCCCCCCTGCCCCGCCTTCATACTGCCTAAAGATTGGGATGTAACTCACATCCTAATTAGTTACTGCTCCAGCATTTTGAGTGCCCCTACTATAGTGATAATGGTCTGACCTTCTGAAACAATAGGGAAGCCCTCAATTAAATGTTTTCTTTTTTATAAGAGTTGCCTTGGTCATGGTCTCCTCACAGCAATAGAATAATGACTGATACAAAAGTTAATGCTATGTCTTCTTTATCTATAATAATTTTTGGAGGTCTATTTTATCAGATAATAATAATGACCCTATTTTATAAATATGATGATTATATGGAATGTACTTTTTCTCCTTTTAAATTAGTTCTTTGAGATTTCAAACAATGCATTTTGATCACATTCACTCCCTCCTTAAACAGCCTTCCTATCTATCAGCTTTGTGCTCACTTTTATTTCTTTTTAGTTAGTCAAGATATGTGCTCCCACCAGACCATGATTAATCTACCAGGGACCATAAACTTAAAGAAAACTGACTCTCTCCCATCTATGAATATAGAAGAATATCATTAGGCATCATTATATTGACATTTTTTTTTCTTCAGTTGTGTTTGGTTCTATCCTAGTTCTCCAGGTCATGCAGCCTCTGGGTTCTGGTGCTTCAGGTAGTATCAGTGGTGGGATTACTCTTATGGCATGTGTCTTAGGTTAGACCAGTCAAGATTGGCCACTCTCTCAATCTCTGTGCCATCCCAGCAAATCCCACAGGCAAGACAGACTAAGGCTATGTAGGTGGATTGGAGTCTTTCCTGATCACTCCAGATAATGCTATGTATCTGCTTTTGCTGGGAGTATTAGCTGAGGTTACCCTTGTAGATTCCCAGGAGTTTCCTTTGTACCAGAAAATGATGGATGAAACCAGTTTGCATGAACAACTTTAACTATGGAAAGTCTTTTTCTTTTAAAATCTGGTATACAATATTCTTTTGAATTCTGACTTTCAGAGTTTCTGAGTTCTACTTCTCTCTATATTGTTGCCATTCAATAGATGAAGGTAAAGCAAACTTTTAATGTAATGAATATTATCATGAAATAAAATGAATAGTAAGGGGGTATGAATGTAGAATGGAGGATATTATTTGTTATTAGAATTTAAAAGTTAAGATAGACTCAGGTCTTCACCAAGGTTAATATTCTAAGGCCATAATTATCAGTCATATTGAATTCTTACTTATTTTTTAAAAATCTAATTTAATGTGTAAGAGAATTTTGACTTGGATAGTTGCCATTGTCTAGAAATCTCTGCAAAACCCATGGTATATGTCATATAACAACCTGACAACCATACCATCTTTGATGTTCTCAGCTGAAGAGGATCTAAAATAATAGAAGAAAAAGAGGAAATATGGGAGAAGGAAGGATAAGAAACATTGTAGAACTGATCATATTTGCCTTTCTAACTCTGTGACTTGAGCTACCAAAGAATGACAGGAATATAATGGAGGAGATAAACTTGAAACTTCTCCTAAGAACCCTCTTTAGACAAATGTGACTAGAACACATGTTTTATGTCATAGGTGGTGAAAAAATGATGAGAATTCAGAGGATCATGGTTAGAAATAGTTGTAGTGGGACCCAGATACACTTCATGTTTATATCTTCAGGTTTCAGACTTTCTGAAAAAGTCATAGTGCTTAGGGATGGTGTAATACAATTGTCTATGGATATTTCACAAATGTCAAGGAGTAGAAAGTGGCTGTCTTTCATAATGTCGCTTAAGAGCTGCATGTTTATGAGACAGGGATGGATTGACTGATAGAAATGCCATCCTTTGATTTTAATAACCTCACACATGTAACATTTTGTGGTTCTAAGGTAATGCTGTAAAGCATACTATTTGCCAGGCTAACTTCTGATATCTGTGACATTTCTGATAATAATTCCTCAGTGTTTTTTGTAGGCTTTGTATTAAATCAACAAAAGTGTCTTTAGTAATTTAGTTTAGACATTTTAATTTTTATTTTTAAAGAACAAACCAATCACTCAAGTACAGATTCAACATATAGATATGTAAAAGACACATCATCACTGAGAAGCATCACTGAGGCAAAATGAAAGGATGTGCTCTTCTTAGCAGTTGCTTTGAACCTTTTGGCACTTCACAAGCTTCAGATACATTTCCACATCACGTGAGTCACTTCCCAAGCAGCGAAACAACGTATAAAAGGCAAAATATCTAGTGTCTCTATTGGTTGACTGCAAAGATGCCAATTCAGACCATACAGGGGCGTTCACATTTTCTTCCAGCGCAAATTTAGCCTAATCACCAAAATAATAGTTAAGCATTAATTATAGATGAGAGGTTGTGATTCTACTTCTTCTACTTGTTAAATTCATTTTTGTGAAAAGTTAATATTGCAACACTCAGCCGGACCAATGGACTTTCATTTATTTGGAACAGAGCACTTAGAATATGTTGTCCATTTAAAACTGTAAGTGGGGCAGACATATATTTTGTGGCATGAAGTTGATGCCAATAAAGTTTGTTTTTCTAGGATGTTGTATAATTGGTTACCAATTGAAAATTTTCCCCCAAGCAAGAGAGGCAAATTCAAAAAACCAAACAAACAAACAAACAAACAAACTAAAAAAACCAAGCCCCCAATTTCATGTCTGGAAAGCTAGAATCTTGGAAGATTCTCAAGATTCCTCCCAGCTTTATAGACTTAATAAACAACTGCTAGTTGTATAGATGCTGCCCTGGTGAATTATGGAGAGAAGGTCTCTCATTCTTGTCCAGCTTCTCGCAAGTTGTGCTGAGAGCTCTACCGTTCTGGCTTCCATTACTATCACCTGTGTTGGAGGTTAGGGGTGGGAGTTTTCTGTGATGCAGCTGCTTTTGAGTCACCTATTCTCTTGCAAGTAACTCTCATCCTCTTAGAACTCTAGTAAAATCTCATCATTTTACCAAATTGGACTTCACTGTAGTTACTTTGGTCTGTCGTGGTGTCCCTTTCTGGGGTGAGTAGACCTGCTTGTCTTTTTTTCTCCCCAGGAAAGGTCTCACACAGCATTGGGGAAGAGGGATGGGCAGCTAGTAATTTGCTATCAAAGACCATGGAGGGGCTAGCACAAATTCTGTCAATTATTGAACTTTATATTTCTTTACAATTATCCCTGACTTGTTTTTATATTTTTTGGATCCAGATACCACTCTATTATTCTTTTCTTCCCTTCTACTAAATAAATAACCCATGTAGTGTATGCATACAAACCCTTAGGCACAGTGAGGATTGGAATTAGTGCCTTAAGATATAGATAGTAGTTGGTCATTGACTGTAATAACTGCTGGGATAGTTACACATTTGTCTTTTGGTCCAGAAAGGTTCAAATAATTATGAGGAACAGCTGTTTTCTTCTGAAATCCCTGAGATCTGAGGTGCTGAATAAAGTGCCTGTGAGTATCAATAGTGAAGACACTGACTTAGTTGGATACCCTATTTTCTTTGCTGCACAGGGAAGTGCTTCAATATTCATTTTTCATTACTCAGGTTACCCCATTCGTGTGTGAGAAAGACTAAGAACTCTAGGAAGCTGCTCACCTCTCGGATGATTTTCTTCATGGCCTCAAGAACTTTTTTGTTTATACTCTTAATCTCCAGGGCTTTTGTGAGATGATAAGGAGTGTATCCCAGCTTGTCACCCATTTCAGCCCACAGATGGTGAAGTGGGTTAACCCAGGCTTGCAATAGACTGCGTGCCAACTTCAGTAGGACTTCCGACTAAGCAATCACAATTGGACAATTACATTAGAATAAAGGAAATACAACAGAGTTAGATACAGGCACTTTTTGCTCAAGTAGCTAAAATAGGCTTTCGTTTGTTAATTCATATACATATTTAGAACATTCTTTTGTTCATTTTAAAAGTTTAAACTGTAGCCACTGTCTTTATTCTATAGAATTTTGACAAGGTTAAATTTAGAAATATCCGAAGAGTGTTTTATGAAGTTTCTAGCCAAGTAGTAATTCTAACAATTGTCACTTCTTTTTTGACTTCCTTTTTTCTTTTTGTGATTATAACATTATTATTGTAAGTAATAAATAATAATGTAGAATATAAAATACTAGTAACATTAAGAAAAAACAAGGAAGGTGGAACATATCTGTGGGGAAATTTTGGACATGTGATGATGCTCATTGTAAAACACTAAGTTGCTTCCTGGAAGGGAATCAGAAATGAGAGATAATAACCATTATAAGTTAGAGTCAGCATCACATATAAACTCCTTTTTACAAGAGTGTCTAGTTTGGTCTTGAGGAACATCATGTTGCATTTTATAGGACTCCTTTCTTCAAGTGACTTGGTCTTCCAGTTATGACATAGGTAAAGGTAGAAAAACGTCAGAGAGGAGTGGGCAGTCACGTAAAGAAATAAAAGTAGATCCAGGGAAGACATATAGATTGTCAAGTATAGATTGTATAGTATTCAGTAATGTTAAATTCTGCCAATTCAGGACCTATGATGAAAACAACTCTATCAATACGCCCTTTGTATATACATTAGTACATGTTAACCATAAGCTCAGATTTGGCTCACACTACAAAATAGTAAGTACAATATCAGAGGCAAGGCAGTAGTAAAATGGCCTTTGTGAATGGATAGTGCATAGACCTGCTATAATATTACTTAGCAATGATTTTATATAATTTATTTCAATGGGGTTGTTTTTTAACTTCTCATTCCTTATCTAATTTTTAATTTATCTCTGCAAGTGTGATTGCCAAATACTATTTCTTAAATACTATAATGCAATATGAGTAATAAAAGTGCATGGGGAAAGCCAATGCACTGCTTCAGTTGTTTTGGTAACAAACCAAGGCTAAGAACTCACTCCAGTATTTTGGGCTTGCTCCTTGTTTTCTGGTCTAGAGAGTGAAGAAGTGTGGCATCTGATGATCCTGTTGTGAAACCCCCGGCCTTTGGCATAAAATCCATTCTGAAACGAGGAAACTCTCAATTAGTTATCATTTCTAAGTTGAAATGAATCAACAACTTGAGAATTAATGTATTTGGTAGCTATGCAATTTTAAGATTAAATAACCCTTAAAATTTAAAAAATAAGGAATTAGGCAAGTAACTTTTTATCGACTTATTTCCATTTTAATTTTTATACATCTGGTTTTCTAATCTCTCAATCTCTTTCCCTCTTTGCTATTCTCATCTTTTTCTAAAAGTTACTATGTGGCAAGCAGACACTAAACACTGCAAAAATGAGTGTTGTAATATGCTAATGTTTGTAATTACTGCCACAATTATATATTTTTATTCATTAGCTTCTTTTGTTACTTTTTGACCCAAACTGATGTTCCTTAAATGGTCATCACACCAGTAGAACTTCTCTTTCATGTTCCCCTGTATCTGCACAGCTGTCCTATACCAAGATGGTCATACAGTACAGTTGTGTTGTAGCAAAATGAGTTCTAAACTGCCTAGTACAATAAATGATAAGCCAGTTAAAATAGAAAAATATTAAGCATATAAACATCATCATTGAATAATATGCCATTATTTAATCAATACATTTACTATGGAACATTTATTTGACATATTATTATCTAAAAGTACTACTGAGAAAAAAATTTGTGATAGCTTCAAAAGATTGCTGGGAAAATATAAATGTGAAGTGATAAAAAAACTAGTGAGCATAATGTATGATAGGAATATATATTTTAAGCCTTAAGCCACATTCTTACATGCTATTTGGTGTACTTTAACTATTCTAAAATAGCTGACAGACTGCCTTTAAATTACCCTACCATGAGAAGCTTTGCTTTTAGCTCTAAACTAGATCTACCAACTTAAGCTCATGTCTTGGAATTAATTATGATGGTTCCTAGCATTTGGGGATTTCTGAAGTTACTTGATTATTTTTCTTCTTCCTCATCTATTTTCAATCTCTTTAATTTTATTCAATACCCTGAAATTCATTGTGAAGCAGTTCTCCTTTATTGCATATTCAGAGTGTCCTAAATGAAGGGCATCAAAGGACGTATGTCTTCTATACAAAGGGATAGAAAACCAAAGTATTTCCTCTGCCTTATACTCCTGAGCTTTGTGTTACAAGAGTAAGTTAAAGTTAAAATATTGAGAAAAAAAGATTATTGTATTCCTAGCAAACACTTGGCATTTCACCAAACTGTGCTGTTCTCTCACTCCAAGTTTCAGTAGCTTAAGGTTTTCCCTGTGGAGGTACATTATGTTGAAATTGGTCCATGATATTTTTCTTCTTTCAGCTTCACTGGCACGAAAAACACACTATAAATACTTCAGGGTTCAGCGAGGATACTTACAAAGTGAGTGGACAGTTTTGAAATTCGCCCATTCATATCCTGGGTTAACTTGATTGCCTGATCCAACATGTCCCAAAACGGTGAGTTGTAGGAGACATTCAACATTTTAACATTCATAGCGGAGGTTACATTCTCCCCCTGGACCATGGATACCAGCAGCACGAGCAGTGTCCCTGTTAAAGAAGAACACCACTGTGAGGTCGCTCCCTATGAGGCTATCAGGAGTCACACTGTCTTGGAAGCATAAGATGTTCCCTGTGCCTTCCTTGACATAAGTTGATACTTTTTGTATGTATGGTATACATTCAACTAAGTATACCTGTTAAGGTTTGTAGTTTGAAAAGAAAATGGGTAACTTTCTGCATCTTTCTATTACTCCTAAGAATGCTTCTGTATTTTTCCAAACATTTCTATCTTAACTTGAATCTGACCCAGGGTGAGCTAGTTCTTCTCTTCAGGTAGGCAAATGTTTTGCAGATTTCTGGTGATTTCAGTGTAAAATTCTCACCAGTTTGTCCTTTTTAATTCAGTGTCAGTTAGGAACATTTTGGACACTGATGGGACAGGGACAGCACAGTTCTTTGGTCTTATTCATTTTCCTGACTGATCTAAATCAAAACATGGTTCCTGGATTTCTGACATGAAGGATGAAGGCAGTTGCCATTAAAACAATGTCATAGCATGGAGTTTCTAACTCACCCCAGTCATGTTATAGCTTTGTACTTTTGTAAAAGCTTCAGATCATTTCCTCTGAATCTTATATTTACAACAACCATCTGGGTATCCTGAGTCTTCCTAACTATTGTCACATTATAATGATGAAAAACATGGTGTACATCCAGTATGTCCAAGGATCCAGTATGTTCAGAGAGAATAAATGCATTATGAACTTTGCACTTCATTTGTCACATCTTACATTTCTGTGAACTCTCACTGTGCATCTTTGTAGCAAGAGCCATATATATAGTCCTGAGGTTCAGTGCTACCTGAAGTTGTTGGTCTTACCTGTAATCTATATTGCTGAAGATTGCCTAGCAGCATGACTGTGTCTACTTCCCCCTGCTCGGTGTAGTATATATGTTTTCAATTTGTGACAATACCTGATTATTTCATCATCAGTTTGCCTGTAATTACATTGACTGAGATATAGTTGTAACATATTAATAATTTGCACTCTCAAAAGGATGAACAGGAGCCAGGTGTTGGTGGTGCATGCCTTTAATCCCAGCACTTGGGAGGCAGAGGCTAACGGATCTCTGTGAGTTCGAGGCCAGCCTGGTCTACAGAACAAGTTCCAGGACAGAAAGACAGGCTCCAAAGCAATACAGGGAAACCCTGTCTCGAAAAGCCAAAAAAAAAAATAGGATGAACATGTATACATGTATGAATGTATGAAATTTAAGATAAAAAACATGAATTCAAGATCCTAATGTGCATATAACCTTTGATAACTGTAGTTGGAAATGTCTAATATAAAAATGGGGAATTGATAAAGATTTATACATAGTAAAATCCCTAAGCAGAATAGTAAAACAAACTAAAAAATTGTGAGAATAAAGTTAATCTTCCAACTTTTAGTGAAAACCAAGACATTATCAAATAATTTATATCATGTTAAATTTTTAAATTAATTATAATTTTCCCAATTTATTTTATGTGCAACATATATCTCTGTATAAAGCATGGCCATTCATATTCTTTATGTTTATTTTCTGTAGTACTTTCACAGCCTAAGATAAGTTTTTGTAAAATCTATCTTTAATTCTTGAAAATGTCATCAAGGCTCTAGAGACAAATAATCCTAATTTGTTTTTCTTTTGAAATGGTACATTGGAAGAATGAAACTGTCAAAGCTGTGTTATATTCACACATGATAGGCTTGTCTACGTTAGTCTCCTGCACTGAAACTTACTTTAGATTCATTCATATCTAAAAGCATATGGCAGTGGCCCCAGAAAGACTATCATCCATAGACCCTTCTGTTCTCATTTTAGAAAATGCCTCCATTTCTTTAATTTTGAAGTTTTGATCCTACCTTGATTTGTACTTTATGGAAGTTTACAGACACAGTCTTGGTTTCTAGATACTAGGTATCAGAACCAATGATATTTTTCTAACTCGTCAAATAAGGCACCAAGTGACATTACAAGTATAGGTCATTTAAACTCAGCTTGGTAAAATAATGCATTTCTTAGTCTTATCTCAAGAAGCATGAATAAAAGCAATACTTACATTGCTGAGTCAAAGACAGATGCATCTCTGAAAAGTCTCACTGCAGCTGGGATACCCAAGGAGGAGGCTTCACTTCACTTAACTTTCTACCTCCTATATACTCTATCAAAGCACCTCCAGGCCATACACTACTAGGGAATTGGAGGAAGGGTATACAGAATCCCAAATGAGATTCACGTGACTATACTCCCTCAGGGACATGTAATGGCCTTCTGAATATGGCCATAGACCTAGTTCATTCCTTTGCTTATTTCTTAGCTATGACAGAAGGAGAAATTATATTAAAGGTCGACACAAGAAGAATTATTGGCCCCAATTCTTGGCGTTTTTCATTAGATTCTTATAGTTCTGTCACCTCTGTATTTTTTTCAGAGCCTCAGTGGTATGATATATGTATTTCTCTAGTTTCCTGCCACTACAACACCAGACAAGAGTCACTTATTTTCAACAGCTTAACCTTTAAAAGGCTTTGCCAATATCAATGAATACTATAAAGGGATTACCTCTATATCCTAGGCTGAAACTAGAAATAATATATGGTTGCAAAGACACACTTACAAGATAATTTAATGGGCACATTGTATTGTTTTAGTGAAACAACTGTTAAAGCTTCCTTATTGGAATCTAAGGCATCCCTGTCAGATTTTCAGTATTCATAGTGGCTGAAGGAAACAGTTCTTTCTGTAGAGCTAGATTTAAAAACAATCAGAATGTAGTTGATTCTTCATATAACATTTATATTACATTGAACAAATGATTACCTCTTATATGAATTATATTAACAAATGGTTCATTAGGTACTTTGACATACTTGATGCCAACAGCAAGCTGAGTGCTGTCTGGTATCTTGAAATTCAGATGTCATCGTGGGACTTCCTACTCAATTTTTCCCTCTTTCCTTCATAGTCATGTGATATCTTCAGTAATAATCTATCTTTTTAGTTTTGATGAGACCCAGCAACAATGGCAACAGTCTGTGTGGTATGATGGGCCACAGGGATCTCTCTAGTTGATACTGCATAGGAAATCAATCACTCTCAACTTGGGTTTTCAGTAAGTGTATGCCTTGTGGGAGCACTTTTTCCTACCATGTTTACTATCTTTTCTACTCCTCTATTTGTATTTTTTATATATATTTGATCCTGGATGTTATATTATATGATACAATGTTTTCACAGAGCATGAAGACAATCTCTGAAGGGGCACTATTGCTTGTTTCAAACAAATGCAAATTGATAATCATATTCTGCATCTAAGGAAATATGATACAAAACAAGTTAGTAAGCCTGAAAATATCTTGAAATTTGTTGCACTTGTTTCCTCCGAAGAGCATCCTGGTTACAACCATGTAGGTGAGGGAAACTGTTATTTAGCTTTCATAATGCACTCTCATTCCTCATTAGTTCATTTTATCCTCATCCTATGGCATTTCCATAGGGCCATGGATCCAGGTAGTTAATGCTGCAACTCCCACTGCTTGTCCTAGCCATTGGTTAACAGGATTTTTCACACTTGTCTAGTCCAGGAAGGCCCTCTGGCCACTGCTTCCCTACTGGCCATATGTATCTGGGGCATAGGGCCAAATGAACAATGCCGTTCACACCAGATCTCATGTCCCCCAAATATATAAACTACACTTATAGTCCACTCCTTTAAGCAATATTCTCTGCCTCTGTAATGCATCACGTGTTTCTATCACACACATATCACAGCATTTTCTTTATATGGAGATAATATACACTGGATACCATCTACTTCTAGGGTAAGTTTCAAACCCATTCCCCTTTAGAGTTCTGTATCCTCCTCCATGCACCATGACTAACTATCCACAATATATTTCAGAAGTATGAATTAATGTTATTTGGTTCCAGCATTCACCCAAAAGAGCAGTTTGCATGTTAGTCAGAAATCAACAAGTCTGTCATTGGACATTGTATCCTTTAGTCACATAACATGGTCTGTTCATTCAGACAACATTTCCTGTCCTGTTAGACCTTCCTACCATCACTTCTTCCATTATAATCTCATGTCTCCAGGTGTCCCATACCCTTTCTTTATTGTTTTTTTTATTATTATTATTTTATTTAATTTTACATAACAAAGTCCAATTAAATGAAAACAAACATTTATACACACTATTTGGGAATTTGGGCATTGTTCTTTCAAACTACTTCCTGCTGGTAAAGGGCGCTGTCATGGGGGATTCGAAGAAGATTCAGATATCCTGGCTGTAGTATGTAGGGCTGTTTTGCCCTTTCTTTATTGTTCAATAATCTACATTGATCTTATTTTAGAATACCCTAGTAATATTTGAATGAGCTTATGAACCACTTCTCTCATTTTATTTATGTCTTTCCTTTTAATGAAATATATTTTTTTCTTATATAATATGTTCTGATTAGTTTCCTCTCCCTCTACTGCTCTCTGTTCCTCCTCACCTCTGCTCAGATCCAGGTCCACCCCCCTTCTGTCTCTCATTAGAAAAAAAACAGGCTTCTAATAGGTCATAATATAATATGATCAAAGAAAACTAACACATCAGAATTAGATGAAACAAACAGAAAGAAAAAGAGCCCAAAAGAAGGCACTACAAGCAGATATAGATGCAGAGACTCACTTGTTTGCACAATCATGAGTCACCTAAAAAACACTAAATTGGAAGTCATCATATATACACAAAAGAACAGTAGGGTAAAAAGAGGGAAGAAAAAAAATGTAACTAAAATAAAATAATACGATTAAGTTTTAAAAAGGAAAGCCCGCTCAAGACATCATGACACAAGGAACCTCTGGGTAAAACCAAATACTACAGTTCTAACAACAAAGAAAAGTAGCACTAAAATGGCTCCTAATGACATTCTGCTATACTCACAGATGAGTACCTTGTTCAGCCATCATCAGAGAAGCTGTGAAACACAGATGACAGGACCACTGAGAAAAGCCATGGGCATGGAGCAGATCTGGCCTAAGAGAGAGGCTATGTGTGTTGCCAGCAGCAGAGACAGGCATGGAGAGCTTCTCAAACTCTTATAGCCACAATGATTTTATCAATAGTATCAGATACTAAACCTGGAATTGGAAAATTACCCAAATTCATTCCCTAATTTGATCAGTTCGTGCCACGCCCCTATACTTTCTAACTGTGAATGCAATGTGACCAGGTATTACACTTTGCTTGCTGTGATGAATATATCCATCCATACATACTGCCAAAATACTTCTTCTCTTAGCCATTCTGATTTAGATGAGATTAAATCTCAAACTTGTTTTAATTTACATTTCTTGCTAAGAATCATGAACACTTTTGGAAGCATTTCTTACATATTTTATTTCTTCTATTGAGACTTCTGTATAGATTCCTAGCACATTTTTCTTTTTAATTTTTTTAACTGGGTCACTTGTTTCCTTGACTCTGCTTTTTGAGTTCTGTGTATATTCTGGATGTTAATTCTCTGTAAGAAGTATTATTGGCTAAGATTACTTCCTATCCCATGGGTTTCTTCTTCACATAGTTGGTTGTTTCTTAGTGGAACAGAAACTTTTTAGTTCTATGAATTCCCAGTTGTCAATGTGGGTTTTAATTCCTTAATTCCAATAGGATGGGCAAACGACACCCTGCTCAGAAAATCCTTGCCTGCACCCATGTATTGAAGGGTACTGCCTGTTTTCTTCTGGAAATTTCACTGTTTCAGGCTTCAAATTGAGACCA